GTAATCGCATGCGATTGTCAAGCGCATCTCGTCAGTAAAGCCAGTTCCGTGATTGGTAGTAAATCGCCATAATCGAATGCGATTCATCTGCGATTATGAATGCGATATTGCCTTGCTTGTCAGTGAACTACGGCTCTGTGTAGTGAATGCCGCTCAATCTGAAAGCAGGTGATGGAGATTTACTACTAATCACGCGCATGACAATTGCATGCGATTAATAGCACAGCCCTGCTTCCAGCCAATCAACAAACTTGGGAAACCCCTTTCTGCAATGACGACAACAAGGGAACCCCCTAAACAAGCAACGCAAGTACCTCCAGATTCCAGCTGGACTGGTGCATTTAATAGACATTTTAGCCTCATTGAGGAACTCAATGCGAGGGTTAATTCAATGACTGATGGTTGTTCAGGTCAATGCAATTGCACATATTGCTATAAATCTTCGGATTTCACATTTTCATTCTCTTAAAGGGGTCATATGATGCGATTTCAATTTTTCCTTTCTCTTTGGAGTGTTACAAGCTCTTGGTGCAGCCGTAAAACAGTGATTCTGTCTTAAATAATCTTAAATAATTCCCTTTGAGCTTAAATGACCTGTTGCCCTTACATTTTACACTTAAATTTTTAAAGATTTTATTTATTTTTTATAATTTAGCGATTTATTGGTTGAAGTTGTTTTTCATAAACTCAGAAAATTAAATTAGGCTTTTTGTTCGTTTAATCCAAGAAATAACCAAGAGGTTGATCGATTATGGCAATAATTGTTATGCAGCTCTAGACTAAATGTAAAGGTAAAACACGAGACATTTGCAAACCACCTAAACCACAAAGGTTTGATGGATGATGTGTGTCTACACTGCAAACAAGCGGTTCGACTTGACAAACAAGATCGATCACCTTCTAATCAATGAAGCCCTCACCAGTGCACACTTAAGAGTCAACTTTGTTGATTATAAAGAGAGCGAGCTGCTTTTTGTTCTAACATGTCATTCCGCTTCATCTGTAACATCATCTACGAAACGTTCCTTGATAAATGTTGTCTTTTGTTATATACTATATGCACATGCTGCATTTGTTTCTTTAATAATAAAAAAATCTATTCACATGCACAGAAATTATAACTGCATGGAAACCACATGGTGCAAGCTGTAATTTTAAGAACTTGTTTTCGATCGACCGTTATTAAGGTTATAGCATTTTCATGTGCATTTTGAAGAGTGCTATGTTTAGTCATTCTGGCCCATTATCTCCATGGCAACATTCCAATTTAGGTGTTAAAGCATTCATCATGCTGAAGTCTGTCTGCGTGCCATCTGTTTGTAGGACAGGCCACACCATATAAAATACGAACTCCTCAAGACAATCATTTGTCTCATTTCTGGCAAAAAGCATGGTTCTGCAAGCGAACCTGAATCTTGTACAGTTCTGGTTCTAGGTAGAAGCATTACCACTAAAAATCCTTTTACCTTTTCTGGGTATTTTTAAAGTTCTTAGAAGCCTCACAAATGGATCTTACATATCTGACCTTGTTGTGTTCAAGTTAAATAATACACGTATGGCAACGTGACATAAATGCACGAAAACGAGTCCTGAGAAGTGTTTTGTGCAATTATTACAATAAAGGACTACAGCATTTCTGTTTAATGTGCACTAAATGAGCAATACAGGTTTCGACGCATTGCAAAAGCAAACAGTTCAGTTCTCTTGCTTGTTCTCTTACTTCACATTCCCATCCATCCACATTTGTTTGACTTTCAATCATCTGTCGCCACTTTTCCCATCAGTATTTGTGTGCTTTGTTATTAAAACTAATATTTTATATTTAACTTGCATTTACTCTCATTTACATTTAAATCCAGACTAAAACACAACTGTTCAGCTGTGCATTTACTGATCGCACTCCATCTCATTCTATGAATTCTTCTCTTTTATTTTCATCTGTTTTCAGAGCATTTGGTTACCATTTATTTTAAGGTGTCCTTGTTACAGAGTAATTATACATTTAAGTGTATAATTAAGAGTAATATTAATTAAATACATGTACTTACTATATAGTTAGGGTTTGGCTTAGGGTTACTTGCATGTAATTATGCATAATTTATTGTTATTATAATAGTGAGCACATGTAACGTGTAACAAGAACTTTTTATTTCTTATGCATTGGTTATATTGGATAACTACCACAAAGATAGGAATCATGAGGAAAAATGTCCAAATGCTTTAAATTACAGTCTTGTATCTAATGTAATGATGATGTAAACATGCTACTTATGTTTTCTATTCTTTAGAACGTTTTTTATTTACATGAATTCACGTGACTATAATTCAGTCTAGGACCATCACGTGAGCTCTCATGTGATGTTGAATTCTCTCAAAAATAAATCTTACAGTCTTTCAAAGGCTGTTTTCACACTTGGATTGAATCTTTGGTCCAAACTAGAGATTCACAAATCAAATTCATAGGCTACTCTGGGATTAAATGTTTACCAGTCCAAACTGTTAACCATTAAGCTACTAAAACCCATTCATTAATGTATGTATCTGGCTCCGCTACAGTTTAAATATATTTTTGTCAGTTTAATTAATACAAACAGTGGAGTGAAATGTGGTAACTGTCAGCAGCTTGACACACACATCACCTGTTTTACATCCATGGCTCTAAGTAATGAAGCACACATGCTAAACCATGTGTTACCTGTTTCTTTTTGACCATTCTATCTTACTGAGGCGATTGGAGGTGTACGTTGGAATTAGGGGAACAGCCTTAAGCTGGTTTTCATACTATCTTAAGAGGAGATCTTTTTCTGTAGCTATTGAGAATTTTACCTCTGTCAATGCTGCATGTACATGTGGGGTACCACAGGGTTCCGTTTTAGGGCCGGTTTTGTTCTCCCTCTATCATCTTTCTTAAGCATCATATCTCATACCATTTTTATGCAGATGATATATAGATTTATCTTCCAATGAAACCAGATGAGAATATATCTCTCCAGTCTCTGATTGATTGTGTGAGTGAAGTTAAAATTTGGATGGCGGATAATTTTTTACAGCTAAATGATTCTAAAGGCCCATTCATTTAACAGATAAATTCAGTTGTTAAATCAGCATTTTCTCAGCTTAGGATGATTGCTAAAACTAAATCTTTTCTTTCTATTAAGGATCTAGAAACTGCATTTATTTCAATAGTCCAAGATTGGTCCAAGATTCATATAATCATTACTGTTAATAGTGTTCGCCGTCTGTTTGATTACATGACATGCTTGATTTTTACCGTACATTTCTGCCATCGGACATCAACTTGAGATAGTCACCACTGATAAGCTACTACTAAATATAATGTAGAAACTTTAATTTTCTGTAAAGCTGCTTTGCAACGATTTGCATCATGAAAAGCGCTATACAAATAAACTTGAATTGAATTGTGCTTAGGGATCACTCAGTCTTGTTTACCTCGTCACAAGATGGTCCAAAATGCTGCGGCCAGACTTTTAACAGGGACCAGAAATAAAGAAAGTACCATCTCGTACCATGATACTAACAGGCCTTTAAGGTCATCAAATACTTTATTGTTGTTGGTACGTATGACGCACTTGAAACTCGAGGGGGATCGTGCATTTTCAGTGGCAGCATCTAGGCCAGGGTTCCTCAATTAGTTTTCACCGAGGGCCAAATTCTGCCAACAATACCAAGCCAAGGGCCACCGACCACAATGTTACGACCAAAATGGTTGTTGTTGCTGCGGCTGTTTTTGTTTTTATTGTTGTTTTTTTGTTAAAAGAGTCACAAGATAAATAATCTGATTTTTTTTTACCCCCAGTAGTCTGTTTTATTCAAACAATTATGAAAATTTTTTGTATTCAGATACAGAAAACTAAAGAACTTTGCCCGTGTCTGCTCATCTCCAGACTGGAGACTTTAGATTTTTTTGGGGGGATCAAACTGTAACCGTGTCGCGATAAAAGGTATCTTTTCCATGTAGTTTTTGTCCTAACCACCTGCGACAGCGAATTCTATTTTTGAAACAGTTTCTATTTTCTGCGACGTCGCGGCTGGAACAACATACAAAATATGACAGTGATAATCTCAGGTAATGACTATTTGCTATATTCAGTGTTAAGTGTTTGAATATAGTTTGCATGACCTTTAAAGTCATACTGAAAGCAAAAATAGATATAAACTTGCATCCGGGTTTAGACACGTTTCACTAATGTCGCTTTCTGATGCTGCGTTTGAATTTTAATGCCACATTATTTGAAATTAGCGTGGGTGTTTTTACCTCTGTCATAAATTTGTGATCTGTTTTATGTTGTTATTCGTTTTATGCATTTGTTTAATTTTCGTGCAGCACTTTGGTTGACTCCGTCATTATTAAATGTGCTATATAAATCAATAAAACTAAACTAAACGTTATATAAGACTTGTATACCTTGGTCGGAGTCAGATTTGTCTGAAGAGCCCATGCTGTCCATGCGTGTGCGCTCCACACCGAGCTGCTCCAGGCGTCTGTGCAGGTGCCTCTGTTCTCTCTGCAGCTGGTCTATAGTGTGCTGGGCCTTCCTCTCACCGTCCTCCAACCTCTGCAAAACATACATGGGTTCAACCTCTGTATGTTCTGATCAAATGCATGAAGCCTTGAGGATAAGAGACTTCTTTCATTTGAACCCAAATCATTTGAATAGTACTGTATCTAGGGCTGGGCGATTTTTCCAATTGTATCTATTAATTCTAATGTAATATTTGGCCATGATTTTATTTTTTATGAATCCAGGAATCACGATTTTGAATAGAAATATCACCAAGCATTAGAATTAGACACTTTGACAATATGCCAATGATAACAGTAAAGAGAAAAGAATGACCCAAATGCATGCGAAGGACCATGAAAATATCGCTAGGTATTTTTCACACAGAATGCGCTTTTTTTTTTTGGCTGGCAACTTTTTCAGAAACGTTGGCAGGGAAAGAGTTAACTTGAGCGCCGCATTTTTAGAAAGCCGTTTGATGCATGAGATGCAAGCGCAACGGTCAAACGTGTTCATGTTTACATAGAATAAACAATGGAAAAGCAGCGTAACTGAATAAAAAACCTGTGAAGAACTACTACTGTATGACTGATATTTCATGTTTGCATCATGATGACAGGCTAAAAGCTGCTGTTCGTTGTTTTTACAGAACATTTATAGTTAATAATAATCTACTGGTGTTATATATTTAGTCATCTTGAATTTAAATTACCTTGATTTTTGAGAATTTTTTAAAGCATTTTCCTTGTATTATTTCTGAACATATAATATGTATAAGACAAGTTTGTACAAGATGTAGTTCATGCATTTTTTTTGCAAAGACATTTAACAAGTGATTTGTTAACAACTTCATCTGTGCTGCACTTGGAATATAATATTTTTAACTAGAGGGTTAATAAAGAAAAAGTTACTTGAATCATGTTACTGTTACATTTTCTAGCTCAAAAATTTAAAAAATCGAGCATCTGTCAAACGTTCTGAAAAAAATAGAGATTTTCGTTTTTTTGCCATATCGCCCGGCCCTAACTGTATGCATCAGGTTTCTAAAAAACTTAAACTAATGAACTACACAACTTTGTGTGAGAGCAGTTTTTTGAGATTGTTATTATTTATAAATTTAATTAAGCATTGGGGGTTTAAGCTCCGTGCCTAACAACACCACTTAACCGCGGTAAAATCACAGTAACCGCCTCTTGTGACTTACTGCTTTAATATCAGATCACTGCATTTCGGTCTTCTGAGAATCTGAGAACAATATTACCCACCAATGGGACGCTGGTACATACCTTGATGTGTTCCTTAGCCCTCATGAGGAGGCTGAGGGTCGTGTGCCGGTTTGAGTCTGGTCCTAAGGGCACGAGGGATTTTAAGCGCTCCAAACACAGCCGTAAATGTGCCCTCCTGGGTGCGTGAGGAGAGGAGAAGAAGACGAGAGAGTGCGTCAGAAAAGCAACGCAACACTTCCAATAAGCAGCAGCAGTAACATGAATCAGAAAAATAAGAAGAATGCAATTACGATCTGCGACGTTAACACATTTCAGTTCGTTCCTCATACAAAGGCGTAGTAAGAATATAGTGCATGAGTCACATTGAGTAGATTTATTATACTTTTATGGTGCTTGTGTGTCATTCGTGAAGCTTTAAAGCTTTTTATAATTGCAAGGGGGATAAAACAAGCTACAGAAAAAAGTCCTAAAATTACTTTTTTTTTAATTATATATTTTTTAATAAAACATGGCAATTAACCCTCAAGCATCCTTCGTATTGCAGCCCTTAATTTGTCCTTCATGGACAGATTATGTGCTTGAAGTTCTCAGGTGTGATTCACATTTCTTTCTTTTTTTTAATAAATGTCATATCACTATCTTTGATATCCATTCATTTATGTATTTTTATTTACGTATTTACTTCTAAAAGTACCATATTTTATATTATATTTAGGGTTGCAAAAAGGTGGAAAATTTCCAGTAAATTTCGGAAACATTCCAGAAATTTAGGAAACTTTCCAGTATTTTTGTTTTAATATTCCAGGGATTTTTGGAAAGTTTCCGGAAATTTACCAGAAATTTTCCACCCCTTTGCAACGTAGTTATATTTAATATTTCTTTTACTTCAGGAAAAAATATAATTCCAGTAAGTTCAGACAGCCAAAACCTAAAAATTTGTTGACTTTGGTGACATCTGATGATAAAAAAATATCAAAAATTTAAATAGCCACTATATGGCTGTAGTACTCAATGGCGGCATATAGATTGAAATCTATAAACCATTGTTGTAATGAACTTAACCTCTTCAGTTTTATATTTTATCACAAGTTAAAATTGTAGAATTGTAGTAGGAGACAGATTAATCATTTATTTCTATAAATAAAAATAATTCAATTTCAATATCTCAAAAAAGTAAAATGGTACCAAACAGGTAAGAATAATCAATAAACCTAACAAGTAGTATGTTCCAGACATTTTTTGTTTGGAATCATCAACAAATCTTGCAGAAGGAATTAGAAGTGTGTGTGTGTTTGTTTGTTTATTTTCTTCTAAACGCCATTGCAGCATCTATGGCTATATTCATGGCGAGAACCAGTTAATCCATACACAAGTCAAAAGAAATACATACACAAGCCTGTTATACACACAAGTCAGTGTGAGTGTGTGTGTGAGAGAGAGAGAGTGTGTGTGTGTGTGTTATGTGTATGTGTGATCCGCATTGTGTTGGATTTATTGATTTTTATTGGACAAATAATAATAATAAAAAATGCTCTGAATGTTAGTATTTCCAATCCATTTCCTATGTGTGCACACTTTTGTCCACGAAGGACAAATTAAGTTTTTTTTTCAACCACTAAACTTTGTTGAATCGAGTCCATTTTTAACTTTTAACTTAGGAAAAGTAGCCAAGTCTTTTACCGCTAAGATTAAGGAAACTATTTAAAAACAAAAAAATGATTTTGCCCAAATTTGTTCCGAAGGATGCTTGAGGGTTAAAACAAAGCCCATAACTATAGTAAAAAAAGCTGTAAAATACATCAAGACATCATCATTCCGACATTCACATCTATTGGTATGAATCAAAGAAATAAACATGTAATTCAAATAAGGATGGTTAAGTTGATGACCTGTTACACAACCTGCCAGAAACTGCAGACTGCTTTGCTTTGCTGTGTATTTGTATGAAGGCATGGGTCACAACCCAGCTATTTCACAGCTGCGTTTGAACGTCTGTGTCACGATGCATGCTCTGCAGACAGATAAGTGTGTATGTGTTGGCTGTGGGCAGCTCTTTGTAAGCCACTATAGGTAAGGGTGAATTAATTTAAATATAGGGAATATAACAAGAGGGTGTAAAACGAAAGGGGTCATTTTGCAATATGCAAATGTTGAGCCGGTCATGCAAATCGGGAAATCATAAACACAGAACTGCTGTGAAAAAACTAAAATACTATTCCGACCTTGCAGAAAGACGATTCATAACTTAAAAAAAATACTAAATACTAAAATACACACTAAAACAGCTACAATGTGAAAAAATGCTTTGCACTGCCACCGTGCTGCCGCACAAAAATGTAATTTTAATAATATTTAGAATGATTTACTAATTATTCATTATAATTTATTAAAATAAAATTATTATTTTTAAGATAAACTATTTGAAAAATCAATGTTATACACCGCATGCATAATTATTAGGCATGTTGATATTCTGATGATATTTTTTTTCCAAGCACATTTGACCAATTCCAAACCACATCAATCTTAATAACTACTATTAATTTTGTATTTAATCAAGTGATATATAATTGTCCATGAAGTCCGGAAGTGAAAAACTTCTTATATTCAGGTGTGCAGAATTATTAGGCATGTCATAAAATGAGCCAAAAAAGAGGTTTAACTCAGACTGAAAAGTCAAAAATGATTAAATCCCCATGAGAAATATTCAAAAGTAATGCAATAGTTTGAAAATGTTTAAAAATCAATATTCAAAACTAATGCAATAGAGAAATTGCAAAGTTAAGACGTGACCATTGGACAGCGAATTGCTCACTGGGTCAGCGGGGTCAGAAAAAAACAGGTGGAGCAGAAAAGACACATGTTAAATGCAAAAGAATTAAGAATTAATGATAAGAATTAGGTGTGAAACCATCAGGAAACATTTAGTCTCCAGCACCAGTATTTTCCTGGAGTCTCCAGAATTACAAGGTGTCAGGTTCTCAGAGACTTTGCTTGGGTAAAAAATTATAAAAAATGACCCTCACTTAATTAGAATAACATGCTGAAGTATTGTGGAATTGTATTAAGACAAATGTTTTATAGGCTTTATGGACAGATATGTTTCGAGTGACTCTTAAAGGACCAGCACACATCCTCTTGCACCACTGTTTGAAGAATTTATCTTCCAGAATCTGACAGCAAGTTTCAGGAGCTCATTTTTTCTCAATTCTGCAAGACAGACCTTTCAGGATACGGGGTGGAATAAAAATGAGCTCCTAAAACGCACTGCTTACCTGATGACACTAATTATACCTTGAAAACAAAAAAGTGCATTGTGGCCAATTGTGTTTCTCTTCAATGTTGCTGCTGCAGTTGCAATACCTGAGAGCTAAAGGACAGCTTGTGTGCACACCTGCCTCTCCAGTGAGACACACACACACACATCAACATTCACTGCAGAACACACCCAAAGACTAATGTTTGCATCACTGCTCCTCGCTTTTGTGCAGCGCAAGCTTAACTGCTCCGGAGGTCAGGAAGACTATTACATAACTTCAGAATCCGTCACCAAATCTGACATTTACACACAAGAGTGCTGCTGTCTCTGAGTCAGTCGCAGTGCGCTCGGATTTGTTTCGCTTTCTCATCTGCTTTCATACAGTTCTGTTGCAAAGTTTAGGGTCAGTACGATAAAAAAAAAAAGTATTTTATTAAGGCGAGACACTGCAGGTGAATAGGGTAAAAAACAACAACTAATAGTTATCGCCTTACTTACCCAGCTGATTGATTACATTGATAATTGCAAACATAATTTTTTTGTATTACAAGTTTTCTAAAATGTTAGGTTTAAATATGCAAATGAGATTTAATTTAATGAAATATGCGCTAATTTGCATACATTTCTAGTACAAAATTCTAAACACAGGATGATGTCTCAAAATTCTAAACAGAATGTGTTTCAAAATTCTTGTTTAATTTTTTTGACATATTAGAGTCAAAAGTTGTTACAGAGGGAATTCTCATTTTTGTCACTCCATAATTCAGAAAATGCTTAGAACGGACAGAAAGCACTATATTTTCACAATTTTTGGGGGGAATAAAATGTTGTATATAATCAAGCAAATTATATATGAACAAATCCCTCTGTAAAAGCCTTCAGAACACAGACAGGAATATAAATGTAAAGTTTGGTGTGTGTAAGTGCTACTGAAGAGGAGATTTATGGCTCAGTGTAGGAGAAAAAACTAATTTTGAGAAAACGGACTTTAAAAAATATGTACTGTAATTGAAATCTATTGACACAAATAGATAAAGTGCTATAAAAGAAACACTTAAGAGTGTCCTTTGGATGTTTTCTTTCCACTAGTCTGAAAAAACACTTACTAGAATTGCATCAGTGTCTCAGCAATGGATGCTCTGCAGTGAATGGGTGCCGTCAGAATGAGAGTCCAAACAGCTGATAAAAACATCACAATAATCCACAAGTAATCCATTATTCATCAGTGTTTTAACTTTAAACTGTTTCTTCAGGCCAAAATACCACTACATGAGCCATAATAATGGCTCGTCAAGTGAAAATTCACATCGAAATCCACCTTCATATTTATTTAGAACTGTGCATATTTCTCTCCTGATTCAGACCGGACTACTTTTTCACTGGAGTAAGCAATATGGATAGAGGACTCTTAATTATGTATTTGTTTCTTACAAACACACACACAGCTTTTGTCTTCTCCAGATGTTAACTGATGGACTGGAGTGCTGTGGATTATTGTGATGTTTGGACGATGTTTTTCACACACAGCTTTTGTCTTCTCCAGATGTTAACTGATGGACTGGAGTGCTGTGGATTATTGTGATGTTTGGACTCTCGTTCTGACGGCACCCATTCACTGCAGAGCAAGTGATGCAATGCTACATTCCTCCAAATCTGACGAAGAAACAAACTCATCCTAAAAATCCTTTTTAATTTTTGAAAAACTATTCCTTTAAAGAATCTTGAAAAAAATGTATCACTGTTTCCACAAAAAATTTGGAGCAGCACAAATGTTTTCAACATCGATAATAATAAGAAATGAGCATATCAGAATTATTTCTGAAGCATCAAGCGACACCAAAGACGTTACCGTTACAGGAATGAATTACATTTCAAAATATATTACAATTTGAATTTGTATTAATATTTCTGTTTTTGCTCCATTTTTAATCAAATAAATGCAGCCTTGCTGAGCAAAGAGACTTCTTTTAAAAACATTTGAACAATCTTGCTGACCCCAAATAGCAGTGTAAACATAAAAGGTTATTCCACAACATGCCATGCGTCTCTACAAATAAAGACCACCCCAGTTCTGTAGGAAAGTGTGCATCTGCTCATCTGGCCACTCTCTCTTTATTCGAACCATAAGACTTTTAGCATAAATCACCATCTTCTGCTGGCCTTTGACCTCTAAGTAATCGCCTTAGCGCCACTGGAGAACAAACACATCGCCTCGCAAGCAAACCTGACCTGTGCTTCTGTTTGAGACGGTGTGTGTCTGCTGTTGTTTACAGCAGCTGTGTGTGTGAGACATGTGGCCTAGAACTGGTGCAGGGTGAAGATGCATGCCATGTGTGACACTGAGGTCACTGGGACAGAAGTAACGGTTTCAAACGATACAGGTGTGTGACATTTCACATGACAGCCATTCACCCCAGAAGCTGGGTTTCTGAGGGCATTTCAGGTGAGATTTGATCTTTCACAGCAGCTGTTTTATTTAAATGTCACAGTGCTAAACTATGAGGGGGGTGCAAACAAAACCGCTCTACTTTTGACAAACATTCAGCAATTTACACCTAATTAGTTAACACTAAAATAAAATAAAATAAAATAAAATAAAATAAAATAAAATCCCCACCACGTGAAAGAAAAAAAAAAGTGGGAATGGGATTGGTGAAAAAGTCAGGTGAAAAAAACGCTCTATTTTTTACAAACATTCAGCGATTTTCACCTAATTAGTTGACAAGTAAAATAAAATAAAACGAGGCCTGGAAATGGCAAAAACTCACACCATTCAACAAACTGATTTACAGTAAAGAAAGTCATATTTAGGGAAATTATGTATCATACTATTCAACTGAATTCATTCATTCAAAAGTCTGGGGTCGGTAAGATTTTGTCAGAGTTTTTGAAAGACGTCTCTTATGATCACCAAAGCTGCATTTCATCAAAAATACATTTAAACAGTAATACTGTAAAATATCATTACAATTTAAAATAAATGTTGTAAACAGTTGTGCTGCCGAGTAATTTTGTGGAAACTGTGATGCATTTTATATTTCTAGGATTCTCCGATGAAGAACAAAAGAACAGCATCTTTAGAAATCGTCACTTTCGATTAATTTAATGAATCCTTGCTGAATTAAAAATGTAATCTTTAATTAAATAAAGCTCTAACTCTAATTACTCCTTACATGTAGAGAACAATATTTCAACAAAACATTTAGTTCAGCTCATTTATGTCATGATAAACTGGTTTTGATGTAACGACTAATGACAAATAAATTTGTAGTAATTAATTCACACATACAATAAATAAAATAAAATCCCTACCAAGTAAAAGAGAAAGAGTGGGAACGGGAT